CCCAGCTGTTGGTCTGGGTATGGACGTGCAGCTTCACACAAAACACCACCTTAGACCACAGCAGGCTTTGGGAACAGTCCCCACACACTCACAGGGTATCATGTAATGGCCTTGCTTTAAGAGTAAAATCTCTCTCTCTAATATGGCACTTGAAAATGACGAACGTAAGGAAAAGTTCCTTTTTCCACCTTGCCTTTACTCTTCTTGTTTAAAAATTGTTAGGGATTAGTGCAATGTGAAAGCTATCTTTGGTCTGAGCAAACTTTGAGTTCTCAGCCTTTTATTCCCTGGTAATAGCTGAAGGAGGTGGGGGTAGGGGACAATTTGACCAAGATAAAAAAATGCACCCAGTAACCTAGTATAGAAAACCTTAATGGGTCTTACCCAGATTACCATTACTAGATTACCCATGGCAGGTAGGGCTTCCCATCTAAATCCTTGTGCCTTGCTAAGAAAACCTAAGGGATAAGATCAATCATTTGGGCTTATTTGCAAAGAGAGCAAATTTAAGCATATAAAACTTGTGTTTCATAAGATGTATCTAGTTACTAAAGTTTTTATGAACTTGCCTAGAATAGGTCCTCAAATATGTGTGAAAAGATTAACCAGTGAAAAGAGAATCAATGGATGAAAGACAGGGAAGGAAATTCAACTGCAAGAATTAGAATTAACCATGTATAATACGTTCTGAGTATTAGACTATAAAATTGAACTATTATCTCACTGAAATTATGAAGAAGATAAGTACTAGAAACTAGGCTTAAACACAATATCCTTTCTCCTTCCTTATGCTCACACTCCTACCCTCTAACCAATTCTCTTCCCTGTTTTTCTACCCCTTGTTTCCCTAATCCCTGGCCCCCAAATTTTTCTCAGTTTCCAGTGAGATAAAGGAACTTCATTCCTCATATATTAACAGTATTTGTACCTTCAGTTGGCTGAGTCTGTTCACTTGTTCACTCATCACTTAACTTACTCCAGGGCCAGTTTCTGTACCTCAGTCGGTGTCAGACACTGTGCTTAGTTTAGGGCTGTAAGCAATCAAGAAGATATACTTGGTCCCACCCCAGGCAGCCCAGAGTCTTTGGGGGGATAGACATGAGTCAAGAGCCAGTTACAATATAAAGAGACGTATATTTGGGGCTCTGGGGACACATGGCCTAACATTAGAACTTTTAATCCAGTTGAAGAGAAAGGGCATTTGAAATTTAAAGGAAGTTAGTGTTGGTTGATGAGTTCAAGAGAACCACTTATTGTAAGTGATTAGAGGAATACAGGTGAGAGAAAGTAAGTTATGAGAAGGGACCTGAAATGGAGGAGTGTTGGCCAGATGCAAAAGTAGGGGAAGGTAAGGGGATGGCTCAAAAGCAGAGGTAACTGCATGTGTGAAGGTCCTGAGCTGAAGGATCAGTATTCTGAGGACATCCTTCTGGATGAGACCTTTGCTTTATATAAAACAGGCCAACTGACCACTTTTCCAAGCACAGTCACATTGTGCTTTCCTGTCTCCTCACCACAGGCCACCTGGGAATATCCTTCCCATCCTGCCCCTTGTCCCACTCTTTCTTCAAGGCTCAACTTGGCAATTCATCATGTCTTGCCTTAAAATCTTAATTCATGTAGCTCTTTTCTTTCATTCCTCATATATTAACAGTATTTGTACCTTCAGTTGGCTGAGTCTGTTCACTTGTTCACTCATCACTTAACTTACTCCAGGGCCAGTTTCTGTACCTCAGTCGGTGTCAGACACTGTGCTTAGTTTAGGGCTGTAAGCAATCAAGAAGATATACTTGGTCCCACCCCAGGCAGCCCAGAGTCTTTGGGGGGATAGACATGAGTCAAGAGCCAGTTACAATATAAAGAGACGTATATTTGGGGCTCTGGGGACACATGGCCTAACATTAGAACTTTTAATCCAGTTGAAGAGAAAGGGCATTTGAAATTTAAAGGAAGTTAGTGTTGGTTGATGAGTTCAAGAGAACCACTTATTGTAAGTGATTAGAGGAATACAGGTGAGAGAAAGTAAGTTATGAGAAGGGACCTGAAATGGAGGAGTGTTGGCCAGATGCAAAAGTAGGGGAAGGTAAGGGGATGGCTCAAAAGCAGAGGTAACTGCATGTGTGAAGGTCCTGAGCTGAAGGATCAGTATTCTGAGGACATCCTTCTGGATGAGACCTTTGCTTTATATAAAACAGGCCAACTGACCACTTTTCCAAGCACGGTCACATTGTGCTTTCCTGTCTCCTCACCACAGGCCACCTGGGAATATCCTTCCCATCCTGCCCCTTGTCCCACTCTTTCTTCAAGGCTCAACTTGGCAATTCATCATGTCTTGCCTTAAAATCTTAATTCATGTAGCTCTTTTCATTTGTCAAACAATTGTCACATATACGCCTTCTCAACACTTGTGATAACTGTACTATTTCATATGTCTCTTCTCCTCAACTAAATTGTAATTACAATTGGCCTTTGAACAACACTGGGCTAGGGGCGCCGACTCGCTGTACAGTTTAAAAATCCACATAGAATTTCTGAATCCCCCAAAACTTAACTACCAATAGCCTACTGTTGATGAAAGTCTTACCAATAATATCAACAGTTGATTAACACACATTTTGTGTATTATGCGTATTACATACTGTATTCTTACCATAAAGTAAGCTGGAGAAAAGAAGATGTTTTTCAAATTGTTGCAAGTCTCCAAAAGATTTTCCAATATTGATTGGGAAAAAAAAGTCATGTATAAGTGCATCCACACAGTTCAAACCCATGTTGTTCAAGGGTAACCTCTAGTTCCTTAAGGACAGCATCCAATTGTCTTTCTCCTTAGCCCAGTACTTTGCCAGAACAAATACTTGCTGTTTATTAATTGTTCAGAAACATGCTTAAGTAAGAAAAAAGGAACAAAATTACTGCCAAAAACTAACCACTCATCAAGGTTCTTGACTATGCTCAAGGGAGAAAAGGAGAAAAATAAATTTCCTAAGTATCACTTACAGTGGATCTATGCAGGGATGCACTCTGATGAGAAATTACCTAGGTGGTTTCTGCTTTACAAATGTGATAAAGGTGGACTTGAGTTATCACAGTAAAAACTATTTTTACTTCAAATATTTGATCTCTTTGCTGAGAGGCTGCTGACACTGAAATTCCAGTATCTCTGAGATGGGCACAGAAGAAAAGAGGATTCTCTTCAGTTATCACTCAAAAAGACAGACATCCCCGGGGCATGTGTCCATAAATTTCCAAAAGATTGGTGGCCAGAAATTGGAAACAAAATTTCTAGTCATAATAAAAAGATGTGTGGAGCTGACTTCCTTAGATAAGACTTTTGAAGCTAAACATTTTTTTTGAACTATCAAAAAAAATATTTTCCTTGAGGTAGCATCATAAGACTTTGTCCATTTATTCAGTTTACCAGTTTATAATGTAGTGAATGCATATAGTTCAAAACAGGGTCCAGTTCCCTGTGTGAGATATCCAGAGCAGAAATACCCAGTCCAAGGCTCATAAATATCTTTTCATTAAATGGAACATTCCATTAAAAGCAAAAATGATACCATCACACAAACATACCAGTATTGATTAAGTGATAAGCTACAGACGTATTTCCACATTCCCCAGATCCATTTGTGGATGATGCGTTGTTCTACTTAGATTCCTATTTTATCTGTGTCATATGCTGTTTCCATGCCTAGGGTCTAGCAGGATCAGGGCATGGCACATAATTATTAGCATTTGCCTGATAAAACAAGGTATGTATCTTGCCAATTAGGACTTACGGCAGACTTAGTCATAGTGGAAACTTAGGCAGTTCCTGCATTACTCACTGTTATTAATGAGCTATTGCTGAGAGATTTGTATTTATTTTTTTATTAACTCAGCAAACTCTGAGTGAGCGTCTGTTATGACTGAGCTGGTTAAACACACCTTGCCGTCTAGGAACAGACAAACAAGGGTGGAGGCAACAGGTAAAACAGAACTTTACTAAACTGTGATGGGTTCCGTAATAAAACTGGGAGGAGAGTACAGTGAGTTCAAGAGAAGCAGAGAAGACTATTAACCGTTTTGGCAAAGGACTGCTAGAAAGGACACCAACAGTGCTGACACCACAGTGAATGAGTTGCTGCACCCATTCTTCAATTGCTTTCTTGAAAAACACATGTCAAAGCCACTTATTTTTCTATCAGGAATTTTACCTGATGATTGATTCATCAATTGGTCATAGACCCAAAAAGACTTTTTTTTTAAACGTGTAGCAGAAACTTCACCATCTCTCTTAGAGGATTCAAAATCACCCAAAGGACCCCAGAGAAGCTCATGCATCTTCTGGTTGCCTTTGACCAGAAAAGAGAAGACCAAGTGAATTCAAAAGCAACCTAGGCATGGCTGGAGTTCTCTGCATTCCCAAAGCCCTCAGGTTTTATGTTCCTACCTACCTTTCCAAACCATGGTCACCTAAACAGTCTGCCATCCTCTCATCAGTTGCCCTCAGCCACATAGTCAACATCCCCAAATATTCTCTAGCTCACCGATCACGTAACTTTCACATAGTGTCTTGCAAGAGCTCACTTAAATTTGTGAATGGATGAGTTTTTCTACTTGTATTCATTAGACATCGCTGACTTGAACCCTGACAATATGTCCTTTAAAGTCACTTAATAGCTGTGACCTCCAGTTTCTCCTGAAATATGAGTGATTCCGCTGAATGTATAGTGTTATTGTGAGGGCAAACTGAAATATGGATGAAGTTCCCAGTATGCTTTGGTGTCAGGCACCCAGTCGGTACACAATAAATACTTGTTTCTTTCCTTTCTTAAGACCCAACTGAAATGTTTGCTATTCTGAGAAGCCTCTCAGCTTACCCACTAGGGATCCATCTCAGCTAGAGGATAGCAGTCTCTCTGAAAGCTTTTCTGGGAAGACAACTGACACTTGAGAAACTTCAGACATTAAAGAGAAAATAAGATTAGGGAACTGACAGTATCATTAAACCTGAAGTTTTTTTTTAATTCAGTAAAATGAAACCATAACCCAACTCGCTAAATAAATACAATATCAATGACATCTAGACCTTAAATGAGCAATTCTGATTACCAGAATATTATTTTCCATTTGCTACTCCATGCTCATATGAAAACTTGTAAAGAATTTCCTGCCCAATCATTGATAAAGCTGCTTATACATTCATTTTGCTTTGAGGCAAGTAATTCACATGCTGCCAGAAGATGTGTTGCATCTGCATCGAAGGGTTCACTGTCTCTCTGATCTCATGGCTCAGAGCTACGATTAACTCCCAAGTCTCCAGCTGCAACATAGTCTGCAAACAGGGAAGCATGTAAGGGCTTGAGAGGAAAAAAATACTTCAGATTAGCACCAATAAATCACTGTACTATCAAGTAGGCATTCTATAATCCCACTACCCAGTACTCTAGTCAGGTGGCTTTCCTGGGTCCATGATAACCTCATGCCCAAAGGCTTTTTAACCCCCAGTGGCCCAAGGCTGTTGTTCCACAATCTGAAAATTGACCTGTTTTCAGACTCTTCTTTTAACTTCCTCAGGCTTCATGAGTAATAACTTTAGTCCTGTTCTACTTTCCCCTAAACTCTCTTTCTTAATACCCTTTTCTGTGCTGTTAAGCCCTTGGCCTCCTCTACCTCCAGTTCCTCTATTCTTGACCACTTCTATTTAAAAAAAAAAAAATTTACATTTTGGGCCAGGCACTACTTCATTCTGAGCACTTCAAATGTATTAACTCATTTAACATACGCAAGAAAATTAGGAGGTAGTTACTATTACTATCTCCATTTTCCAGGTGAGGAAACTGAGGCTCAGAAAGGTTATAAGAGGTAAAAGCAGGATTCAAGCTCGGGCAGTGTGTTGTTCTGGCAGCCTACATTTGCTAAATTTCCTGTTTCTTGCTCAAACTGAAACTTCAGGCCACATAGAGTGTCTGTTTTTGGTTTTGTATAATGTGTGTTTTAAGGTGAAAAATCCTTGTGTCCCTCTCCCCTGTCACCTCCTTCACCTTCTCCTCCTCTTCTTTCTTCTTTACAGTGTCTGAGGTCAAATGACTGTTGCCTGAGCAGAGCTGCAAGGTGTCACCACAAGTGGGTAGGTCCCCAGGCAGAAGAGACATGCCTCTGTCGCACGGCAGTCTCTCCCTGCCTTATCCCAGGCCAGCTGAAAGATGTGCCTTCTTTCTGAGGTCACCAAAGAAGATGTATTAAAGAAAAAAAAAACAACATTATTCTGGAGGAGATCATAAACAACTCTGTACAGTATTCTGCTTTCTGACAAGGAGAAAACAAAGGTCATTTTATAAAAGGCATCTCGAGCTGCACACCACAGTCCTTTGGCTTATAATGAAACTTGATGGATCACTTATTAATATTTCATGCCCTGGTAGCCACTTAATACTATCCAGGTAGAAGTCTCTATAGATTTTCTGTAATATCTCTAATGAACATAACAATGAACTTTTAGTGTCAAGATGGATCCTCTGCTTCTGACATGATTCTGTGACTGAATAAACCATGTCGACTCTATTCCATCATTCAACAAACACTTCCTCGAGCTCTGGGATTCCACAGTGAGCAAGATAAACAATATTCCTTCTCTCATGGTGCTCAAACACCAGCATGGGACATAGACAATAAACAAATAAGCATTTAATTGCTTATGTTGGTAATGAATATCAGACAAGATGATCTGAGAGAGAGTGTGAAGTGGGTATAAGGGGAATCCATTTAGATTGGATTATCAGGGAAGGCCTCTCTGAGGAGGTGACATTTAGCTGAGACCTGAATATCGAGAAGTAAGCATGCACATTCCAAGACAGAGGAAACAGTGAATGCAAAGTCTTCAGGTGGGAACAAGACCAAGAAACCCCTGCCCTTGGAGAGCTCACCACTGTGTATGCCTCTTCATGACTTTATGAACTTGATACATGAATTCTGCCAACCACTGTGAGTCGAGAGTACGAACCAGTCACATCTACAAGTTTCTGTTCCTCTTATCACTGCACTTGCCAACTTCTCGGGAATACTGTGTCTTGGTTCTCTCTGGAGCACTCCTATCAGGGCCAGCTGCAGTCCCCCAGGAATACCTGTTGATGATTAACACCAACGGACCATGGACAACAGATTTTGCAAGTCAGTCAGCCATAAATTCTGACTAAATGAGGCTGTGGGGGAGAGCTTAGCCCAATTCCTGGGGAGCTGCACCCACCTTTCATTCCTTGAATAACCACTACCTTGCCAGGTCCCTCACCCCAACTCACCCTGTCCCCAGGAGCCTGATAGCTGTATTGAGTCATAAACATTCCTAATCCGTAGGAAGCCTGTAGTTAATGACTGAGCATTATCTTTCTCATACCTTTATGCTGTAAAACTGCTAAGACCCTCAGGCTTGTACCTGATACTAGATAAGTCATCCAGTAAAAGTTCTAAGGCTTAAGTTGATGAAGAGGTAATTTACAAAAATATAAGCTTCACTAGACATTCCTGACGAGCCTTTATCCTAGGTTTGAAAAGATTCATAAAGTTAAAAATAGACCATTTTCCATCTCAATGATTTATCCTCACACTGGGAATGGATATTCTTTCTTTGCATTCAACCCATTTATTATTCACACAGACAACTTCATCAGGCCTGAACCACACGTTGTCTTAGATTCTTCTTCCTCAGTCCAGTGTAAGTCTCCACATTCCTAAGCCTGGGGAGCTGCCTCGCTGGGTCCAGCCTTGCTAACATTAGGGTGTGATACTCTCGCTCACTCACATCTTCGCTCATCGGTCCACACACCTCTAGACAAAGGCACGATCTCTTCTACTTCTGTGTTTGTAGAAAGCCATTTTAAGCTCAATTTGAAAAATTTTTTAAATACCCTGAAAGTCTGTGCTTCCCTAATTGATCAAATTTGCTTTGTTCTGTTGTATAGCTTAGGCTAGTTTTCAATCCTAGAGATAATATATCTCTATAGTAGTATAATAAAGAATGCCAAATATAGTTTAGGAGACCTAAATTCTGGTTCCGTTTTTATTTATTCACTCAAAAAAATGCTTATGACATACCTATTATGTACTAGACCCTTCATCACCAATAGGCTTTCCACTTTGGACAACTAAATTGCTCTGCTAGTTTTCTTATTTGTACGTATCACTGTAAAGAAGAAATTATACCAGATAATCTCTAGTCCTTTGAAATTCTAAATGGTTTTACTTCTAAGTCCAATTCTAACCTCCCCATAGTTTCTCCGTCACAGTTTTTTCTAAGTGAACTGTCATATGGAAGTTTCCATAAAATGAAGGCCAGCACTGGTTATATCTCTTAAAACATTAAAGTAATTGCACCTACGGAGAGAGAAAAAAATGCACAGTAATCAATATTTCTGGAGTTTAGGTGATTATTTCTAAGAATGATCAATATATATGTTCACAAACAGAGTCATAGAACAGTAATATATTATAAATGGCTCAGAATCAGTTTCAAGAAGAAAAACTATGTAATGAAACATTAAAAATATAAATAAAAAACATAAAATCCAAAGCTTGATAGACAATGTAAAAAAGTAAGTACACATATATGCTGCTGGTGACATTGTATATTCTTTCTAAAGAATAATCTGAAAATATGTAACAAAGATCATAAAACTGAGGGCACAGATTAATTACAGTAATAGTTCTGATCTTCATTTTTTCTGTCTCCATCCTTGAGCTCACCCATATAATTTCTTTGACCAATGAACTCACTCTCCTTCCAGTCACGCCCCTTTGCCATGATCATGAAAACAGGCCCAGGTTATCCTGATGGGTGGATGTAAGGGACACATGAAAGAGAGCCAAGCCTTTCCAGCTGGAGAGGAGCTGGAACTGGGAGTCCAGCAAGGCTAAAGCACCAGGAATTTTCAGGGCAAAATACCAGAGAAGCGAGTGCTCTGGAGATCTGCAGAGGGTCCCCCTTGAGCGTGCAGCTAAGGAGTGGTCAGCAGAGGTGTGTGAGGAAACTGCCCAAGGTTTGAGAAACCACCACCCAAAGAACATCTCCTAGAGCTCACACGGAGCCAGAAATAGTTCCTGTCCCCACCAGCTAGAGTGGAAAAACTAATCATTAATGAGGCATCAGACTGAGTGATCAGAAGGGCTTGGCCTGTGGAGTGGAGGCAAAATCTGCCCTGGACAAAATACTGCTCTGTTCCCGCCAAGCAAAACTTAAAGGCAAGACTGAAAGCATCAATATTTCTTATTTCTCTGAATCCCAGAGAATATCAAGAAGATTTATAGAAATACAAACATTTCCAGTTCCCAAAGTTCCACACACCTCTAGACAAAGGCACGATCTCTTCTACTTCTGTGTTTGTAGAAAGCCATTTTAAGCTCAATTTGAAAAATTTTTTAAATACCCTGAAAGTCTGTGCTTCCCTAATTGATCAAATTTGCTTTGTTCTGTTGTATAGCTTAGGCTAGTTTTCAATCCTAGAGATAATATATCTCTATAGTAGTATAATAAAGAATGCCAAATATAGTTTAGGAGACCTAAATTCTGGTTCCGTTTTTATTTATTCACTCAAAAAAATGCTTATGACATACCTATTATGTACTAGACCCTTCATCACCAATAGGCTTTCCACTTTGGACAACTAAATTGCTCTGCTAGTTTTCTTATTTGTACGTATCACTGTAAAGAAGAAATTATACCAGATAATCTCTAGTCCTTTGAAATTCTAAATGGTTTTACTTCTAAGTCCAATTCTAACCTCCCCATAGTTTCTCCGTCACAGTTTTTTCTAAGTGAACTGTCATATGGAAGTTTCCATAAAATGAAGGCCAGCACTGGTTATATCTCTTAAAACATTAAAGTAATTGCACCTACGGAGAGAGAAAAAAATGCACAGTAATCAATATTTCTGGAGTTTAGGTGATTATTTCTAAGAATGATCAATATATATGTTCACAAACAGAGTCATAGAACAGTAATATATTATAAATGGCTCAGAATCAGTTTCAAGAAGAAAAACTATGTAATGAAACATTAAAAATATAAATAAAAAACATAAAATCCAAAGCTTGATAGACAATGTAAAAAAGTAAGTACACATATATGCTGCTGGTGACATTGTATATTCTTTCTAAAGAATAATCTGAAAATATGTAACAAAGATCATAAAACTGAGGGCACAGATTAATTACAGTAATAGTTCTGATCTTCATTTTTTCTGTCTCCATCCTTGAGCTCACCCATATAATTTCTTTGACCAATGAACTCACTCTCCTTCCAGTCACGCCCCTTTGCCATGATCATGAAAACAGGCCCAGGTTATCCTGATGGGTGGATGTAAGGGACACATGAAAGAGAGCCAAGCCTTTCCAGCTGGAGAGGAGCTGGAACTGGGAGTCCAGCAAGGCTAAAGCACCAGGAATTTTCAGGGCAAAATACCAGAGAAGCGAGTGCTCTGGAGATCTGCAGAGGGTCCCCCTTGAGCGTGCAGCTAAGGAGTGGTCAGCAGAGGTGTGTGAGGAAACTGCCCAAGGTTTGAGAAACCACCACCCAAAGAACATCTCCTAGAGCTCACACGGAGCCAGAAATAGTTCCTGTCCCCACCAGCTAGAGTGGAAAAACTAATCATTAATGAGGCATCAGACTGAGTGATCAGAAGGGCTTGGCCTGTGGAGTGGAGGCAAATCTGCCCTGGACAAAATACTGCTCTGTTCCCGCCAAGCAAAACTTAAAGGCAAGACTGAAAGCATCAATATTTCTTATTTCTCTGAATCCCAGAGAATATCAAGAAGATTTATAGAAATACAAACATTTCCAGTTCCCAAAGAGGCAAAATTCATTATTTCTGCATCCAATCAAAACTTATCAAGTATATTAATTTGCTAGGGCTTCTATAACTAAGTACCACAAACTGGGTGACTTAAACCACAGAAATGTATTGTCTTACAGTGCTGGAGAGTAGAAGTCAGAGATCAAGGTGTTGGAAGAATTGGTTCCTTCTAAGGAATGAGGGGTATGGGAGAAGGATCTGTTCCAAGCCTTCATTTTCGCCATCTTCTCCCTGTGTCTCTTCACATGGCTGACTTTGTATATGTGTCTATCTCTAAAGTTCCCCTTTTTATAAGGGTACCAGTCATTAGGTTTTGACCCACCCTAAAGACCTCATTTTAACTTGATCAATTCTATATAGACTCTGTCTCCACATACATGGTCACATTCTGAGGTACTGAGGGTTAGGCCTTTAACATATGAGTTTTGGGAAGAACACAATTCAACCTACAGCACCAAACATGCAAATAAACAGGAAAATATGGCCCATAATGAGAATAATCACTTAACCGAAACCATGAAATGGTATACTTTTGAATCTGACAAAGACATTGGGACAGTCATTCAGCATCTTCCACTTCTTCAGAAAGTCAGAAGGAAGTGGTACGACTAATGTTACGTAGAGATTTGGAAGATAAACAAGGACTCAAATGAGACTGCTAGAGATATAAAAACATACTGTGTGAGATGAAAAATACACTGGGAGAGATTAATAGCAGATTAAATACTGCAGAAGTAATATTTAGTGACCTTGAAAACATAGCAAGAAAAATTATCAAAAGTGAAATTCAGGGAAAAAAAGACCGCAGTAAAAATGAGCAGAGCCTCAGTGAGCTGAGGGACAACCTCAGGCAGACTAGGACCTATGTAAATAGGTGCCACCAGAAGAGTGAGGGACTAAAATATTATTTGAAGAAATAATAGTTAAGATTTTCCAAATTCGATGAACACTAACACTAGAAAGCCAAGAACCTCAACAAACCCCAAACACAAGAAATATGAATAAAGCTACACCATGTCATCTTGTTATCAAATTGCTTAAAACCAAGGATAGAAAGAAAGTCTTAAGAGGAAGCCAATGAAAAAAGACACATGAAGTACAGAGGAACAGTGATAGGAATGACAGCAGACTTCTTGTTGTCAACAAAACTAAGAGTCAATAGAGCATCTTTAAAGTACTGAAAGAAAGAAAATCTGTCAA